AATCCTCTGCCTTGCGGTGCCAGCACCCCAGGTTCTAGTCCCGGTCGGGGTGCCGGATTCTGTCCCGGTTGCCCCTCTTCCACGCCAGCTCTCTGCTGTGGCCAGGGAGTGCAGTGGAGGATGGCCCAAGTGCTTGGGCCCTGCACCCCATGGGAGACCAGGATAAGTACCTGGCTCCTGCCTTCGGATCAGTGCGGTGCGCTGGCCGCAGCGCGCCAGCCATTGGAGGGTGAACCAATGGCAAAGGAAGACCTTTTTCTCTGTCTCTCTCTCTCACTGTCCACTCTGCCTGTCAAAAAAAAAAAAAAAAAAAAAGTTGGCTTTGAAATTGGTAGAGCTTAAAATCAGCCGATAAAGTAGTTCAATAAATGAAGTTTTCCTATGACACACTCCCCAAATGCTAAACGCCCAGAAAATATATAAAGCACTTAGGGGTCACACAGTAAAGACTCTCTATGAAATTATCCTGAGAAAGTTAGGCATTTACTTCATAACTCAGATACTTGAACATATTCAAGAAATTATTTTATTATAAACTTACTAACTTAGAGAGTAACAAAAAAATTACTGAAATTTGTTTCTCATAACAAGAGGTTTTAGAAAGTACTTCCCAGGATCTCAGGGGGAAAAATAATTCATATTGCCCCAAAAAAGTTATGTTCTATGAAAATTAGTTTTAGCAATAAACTGAGTATTATAAAGAATGGCCTGAAAATTTAAAGGGAGAAACATTAAGTGTCTGTACTACTAAGACAGCAAGAAATTAAATAATTTTTAAAATATCTCAACCTAGGAAAAAATTTACAGTTTGAATTATAAGACATCTGAGAGTGAGAGCAGGATCAAAAAAGCAACTAGGAAAAATCATATACTAATATAACTGAGATATTTGGAGACAAAATGATGAGCAGAAAAAAAACTAAGTACAAAGATGTCGAAGATGTAATAAGAATCAACAAATCACCAAGTTCTGCCATGATGGTATAAGCTCATTACTCATGTGAATCAAAGGCATCAATGAACAGAATCTAGAACCTGAATAATTTTATTATTATGGCCTATAGAATGAAAAGGAATCGCTACCAAAATTTGAAAACACAGGGCATTTTCAAATTTAGGTTTATCAAAATGTACTATTTCATACAACAAAGGGGTTGCCTCACCCAGTCTCCAGTTTCTACTGTTTAAAATAAGGTATTGAGGAATTTATTGTATTGTAAACCTAGGAGGCTAGCAATTAGCTCTACTTTCTTTTAGTATTCTCTTCTTCAAATTCTACAACCACCTAAGCAAAACTCACTGAAGTACCAAATTATCCACTAAGCCCTCCCCCAACACAAAAGCCCATTAACAAAAAGACCCAAGAGCTAGAAGAAAGGCACTGAGTTACTTATTATTTACACAATATAAATATTCCTTATTTAGAAGTACTCAGTAATATTTCTTCACCATGGTGGAATGATTTCTAGGAATTAGCACATTTTAGCAAAATTCCCTTGTAAATAAATTGGGTGTCCCAAAGACTCAAAGGTGAAGACTTTTATCCATATTTAATTAACATTACACAAGATGTTTCAAACTAGTTTTTTAAAAATAAACTGTAACACTGTTCCCCCAATTTTCATCTATAGCTATAGCAAGAGACTCAGGCTAGTTGAAGGCAATGTGTGCCTAATAAAGCAGCAGACAATGATTTCATGTTTGACTGTATCAGTATTTAATCTCTGGAATAAAATTCACATAATTTATAACTGTTTAAATATATGTTAAAGGTACATGAAGAAGTACTTGTTTATAAATTCCATAAAATTTTGCACACTCATAGTTTGGGGAATTTTAGAACTAAAGCAACTACTTGCACCATTAATCAAACCAGAAATTATTTAAGAATATATTCTGAAGTGAATCAAAGAAATCATCCCTGGCCATAGTATGATTATATCATGAAACAATTTCACCAGAGATCCAAAGTTCAACTTCCTTTACTGCTAGGAAAATACAAAGTTCAAATTCAAACAACAACTTTTCACTGCAAAAAAAAAATAAATGTCAGGGCCATAATTAAGGAATAAGTAACTAACTGAGCTCAACAATGGTGGAACCAAGAAGCAGTAAAAGTACCAGCTGCTAAATATGACTTTAATATGAAAAATAAGGAATTCCCTAATTGTCTCAGAAAAGCCTCAGGGGCTGTATTTTAAAGAGCTACTTTCCATTATCTGCTAAAGATTATTAAAAAAAAAAAGAAAAATAAATGCCCAAATCAAAGCTGTGGACAGTCACTGCCAGAAAACATCTTATTAAGTGATCCAGTTAGTGGTACTGGCTGTGGCTGGGCTCTCTTAGCATCCACTAGATGAAAAGGAGGAAGCAAGGAGAAAGCAGCCCTGCAGCAGCCATGTCCTAGACTCCAGCTCAGCCTACCACACGGACTGTCAGAGCCCAGTATGTGATCAGTCCCCATTAATATTAAAGAAATGCTTACATCTTATTCTTATAGTTGCTAGCTTCTAAATGACAGGTTATGACCATAGTTTTATAGAGTCAAGACAACAGAAAGAGTGCTACGTATACTTTACAATACCTTATTAAACTGAAACATCCATTTCACAAAGTTTGGGTAAAAGGAAAAATGGAAGGGCAAATTTCTTTTTCCCCTTGCTCTGTATTTTCATCCTCTTCTAAATGACCCACAACAGTAAGAGTCTTTGACCCTTATGGAGATATTTATGCTATTTTTAATCAAACCCAAATTTCTACAAATAATCTCAAGTTCTTCTAATACTTAAAGTCTTACGTTTAACTGGCAAAAATTATGCTACTTTATACAAAATACTGCTTTTCAGTAGAGCACTTATCAAATTCATTTAATATGAAACTAAGAAACTAGAAATACTATTTTTAAAAGCATTAAAATTTCTAAATCTCAATTTACTTAGAAACAAGATTATTAATCTCATGTAACACAGACATAACAGTACACATTAGAAATTACTGATACAAAGTATATCTTTATAAATAAGCAAAGTATTTAGAATTTACACTATTATGAAATATACTGCTACCATTAATCAATGTTTTTCTCCTTATTTCGACTACATATTTAAAACAGACAATATCTTCACATGCCAAGAGGGCAAAACATTCTTACAATAAAAATGTCAACAACATTGTGAGGCAAAGGATGTTTATTCAACACAGTTCATTAACATCACCAAACACACTCTAAACCTTGAATTATTTTCTTAAATTTGATATGCAGAGTGAGTAAATGTATAACATGTAGACCAGATTAATATTCATTAAAAAGCCATTTCTCTGATTTTCCAAAAGAAACACAATAATTTGGAATATACCAGTTTCATCAACCTAGCAACAGTAAGACTTTTTTAAAGGTAACAGTTATACTCTAATTTATACTCCAACTAATCAAAACAAAACACAAAGCAATGATGCAGATATTCCCATTATCCACTGACTCATGGGATTTGAACTACAAGGCACCTAGAGTAGCAAAGGCTGTCTATGTAGTATTGTTGACAGTGCCTGAGTGTCTGAACTAAAACCCTAAAAGCGTTTCCTTTATCCATCTTCACATATGGTCCTAAAAGTTAGGGGAAAGAAAGAATTTTGCAATTCTCAAAACTACATAAAGTTTTAAAGCCTGCCAGAGCTTTTAAAATTACCAATGAAAACATCACATAAATCCTTAAACTTAAAATGATGATGATGGAATATGAAGAAAATCTTCATTTAAGATTAAAGAACCATGTGAGTGTGTGCATCCATATAACCACACTACACTCATCCTTATGTATACGGTGCACCACAAACCATCAGTTCCCATTAAGAATAAGAACTATCAGAAATGTTTCCAAAGTGAGCTGCTGGGAAAGGAAAAAAAAAAAAAAAACTGAGGGAGACAAATTTTTCTCCAGAATTTTCTAGCATTTTGTAGTGAAGAGATGGACTGACATCTAGCCCAGATCACAATTAAGCAGCCCATCATATTGTGATGCATCATTTCAGCAGTGCACATTCAGGAAGAAGACAGCTTGACTTCTAATCACGTTGTAATCCTAATTCCCTCTCCTACAAACACCTCAGAAGGCAGAACATCCTACCGTTCTAACACACCCGACGATAACAGTGGACAACAAATTCATCAGGACTACTACCTACTACCAGCTCTCACTGAACCACTGTACGCAATCTGATCAATGCTTTGAAACTGGCAAGTATGCCATAAACGTAATGTGCTTTGCACCAGATTTTACTAGCATGAAACACACCAGGGCAACGGGTGCTCTTTCCACCTACCACTTCAACAGAATTCTGTTAAAATCAAAAGCTCCAGAAAATCCTTTTACTCAGCCAGGCACCTCGCTCTTCCTTCAAAACCCAGACTCACGTTCAACAACACACGGCTCGGTCACATTTCACCTCCGGTACCCTCCTCGGCTCCCACACACCTGAACCACCTGGCCTGAGTTAGGCTGTTAGATGTCTGCTGGCGTGCAAAACACCCCGAAGCAGCTAAGCCCTCCCAGCTGCACCAGGTGGTGACCCTGGCACCAAGTGCCTCCATAGTAAAAACCTTACTCCTTGTTAGAAGATGCGTTAAGACCATGCCCAAGAAAATGCTACAGTCCTGAGAACCTTTTCCACAAGGCCTCCTCCCAGCAGAAAACTGTCTGCGGTGGGCGACGGAGCTACAGATTTAGGAAACCCAGCCTCTGGTCGCAATTCTGTGACACAGCAGCCATGCCAATCCAGAACTCAGTTTTCCAATCGGCAAAATGGGAATCAGCACCCTTTCTCTCCACCCCCTCCACCCCCCTCCAAGGGAGTCAGGCACACCCAGGAGGTCTGAGATAGCCCGGGGACCCTAAGCGGCGGGAGATGCCAGCGCCCCAGGACGCCCACCTCGGACCTCCCTGACCACCCCCTCAGTCTCCACCCACCACCACCACCACCACAGCAAGGCAGAATAGGCGTACCTGGCTTCACGGTCTTGAGACGGATGGGCTCGCGGAAGTGGCGGATGACAGCCAGGGTGTCCCGGTTGGTGAGCCCGCTGACGGGCGTCCCGTTCACCTCCAGCAGCACATCCCCCGGGCTGGGCGCCTTGCCTGACACCACGCAGCAGGTGCCCCCGCCGGGCTCCTCGCGGAGCCGCCCCAGGTAGGGGAACTCGCCGCGCTCCGCGCCGCCCCGGATCTCGGCGCCCAAGTCGCCCGGGGGCCCGGCCCAGGACACCGCACACTCCTGCACCTTGCTGAGCCAGTGCTTCTTCTTCTTCAGCGTCTTCGACATCCCGAACCCCGCTGCACCATGGGGGAGACCCCGCGCGGGCGGCCGGGGCGCCGCTCCCGCCCCCTCTCAGCCGGGGGGCCCCGGGCGGCCCGCGGAGCCCGGCCAGGGGGGGCTCGCCGCTCTGGCACCCCCACCACCACCACCTCAGCCCGCCGGGCGCCGGCCCCTCCGAGCCCCGAGACGCCCCTCAGACGTCCCTCCCGGCTGCGCTCTCTGGGGCTGAGCGGGCTCCGCGAGGGCCACCGCGGGTTCGGCTGAAGAAAGGAAAAGGGAATTGTCCTCGGGCGATTCCAGAAGGGGTTTCGGGCGGGGTCACTGCCGACGGCTGGCCCCCGGGCTCTGCGCCCGAGCGGCGGGAAAGGCTGAGGCAGGGGGGCGGGGAGGCGAGGGGGGAAGAGCCGGAACGGGAAAAAATCCGTCGGGGGCGCGCAGAAGTAGAGCCGTCGCCGGATCGACCCGGGCTGCTGCGGAGCCGGAGCGCGGAGACCGACGCCTGGCCCAGGCTGCCAGGAAACTGCCGCTTTCAAACCCGCCGCAACCTCCTCCTCCTCCCTCTTCCCTTCCCCCCGCCCTCGCCCATCCCTCATCCAGAGCCCCGCCCCCTCCCGCCGCGCGGCGCCCGGCGCGCTGCCGTCACAGGCCAGGCGCTTGGGAAGGAGCCCAGCTCTCGACTCTCGCGCCGGGGATTGGGCCCCGGCAGGCAGGGGGCGGACCCTCGACGAGAATGAGCGCAGGTGATTGGTTGACGGGAGTGGAGGGGGCGGGCATTGGGATGACTGAAGTTTAGAGAGGGTGGAAAGAAGTTTGGAAGAGTGAGGAAGGACGATGGGGAGGGGCAGGGAAGTGGAGCGGACTGCAGGTCGCTTGGCAGGGAGAGGCCCTACGCGCGGCGACTGAAGCCAAGGAAAACTCGGATTCGTGGAGTGCCCGAACTCCCCGAGGTGGGGGCGTGGCTGGCGAGCCGGGCGGGGTCGGGGGGCGGAGCCTCGGAGCCGCCGCGGGGCGCTGAGAGGAGCCGGAGTGCTTAGACTGGAAGACGGCGCGCCGAGTCCCGGGCGCCTGCCACAGCCGGTCACTTACCTTGAGTCGATCTGTGCTGCTTCTTGTTCGTTCGTTCGTTCAACAAATGTTATTGAACGGCCACTGAGGCGGGGGATCCAGAGTCCCGTGGATGGAAGGTAAAATAGAATCCTGCGCTGCAATGGCTGCGTGAGCTGGGGCCAATTAGAAGACCTCTCTGAACCGAAGCGGCCTCTGCTGAAAGTATCCTTAACACGCACCCGTCCGAGTTGTTGGCGAAGATTACGTGAGATGTCTGTAAAAGATCTGCATGGTGCCCCGCCAGACGATGGATGCGCCTTAGTATCTGGTAGCAGATGATGATGAATTTGTGGTAGGGAGGAATTGTGCCAGCCACTGGGATTCCCGGGGTGAAGGAACACAGAGGCCCTGCTCTCCAGGAGGTTACAGCCTAGTGCGAGGGCCAGACGGGGCGGTGTGGATGGAGGTGGAAGGCGGTTAGGAACTAGCCTGGTAGCCAGCATAACTGAGTTGCAGTCTTCCCATGCTGCTTACTCGCTGTTTGACCTTGGCCAAATGGATACCTCAGAGCCCTTCCAACACTTATTTCTTAGAAATTCCTCCTGCGCTTTCTCCCCTCCCTCGCCTCCCCTTGTCTTTGGAATGCCCTTCCTTCATTCCAGCTCTGCAAAATCCGATCCATTCTTACCCCAGATGCCATTTCTTCCAGGTAGCCTTCTCTGGTTTCTGGCCCTCAGGTGCGGAGTGTCTTCTCGGAGCTCTGAGACTTCACATTTACGCTTTCTCCCATCTCCTTTTAATGGCAGCAGAAAGCTCTCATTTAAGCTGTGAATAACTCCAGAGAATTTCACAACATCTCAGGTAGACTGGACCAAGCCTCAACAACACACCTGCAGTGATTTTGTTCACACCATTGTATCAGTCCATGTTCTGGCAGGAAACAGATGGCTCTTTACAAAGAGGTGGACAGGGTGTGGGAAACCACAAGGGAAGTGTGGAACCCCAGGGCTACAACTCCTAGATCTATGGGAGCAGGAGAAAGAACAGTTACCGAAAGGCAGCTACAAAGAGGAGAGCCTGAGCGGGGCCTGTGCCCTCCAGCCAGTCAGCAGGTGCACGCCGCCTAAGAAATCACCCAAGGAAGAAGCTGGGAATTTGTATCTCACCGCCAGAAGCCAGGGGAGCCTTTTGATGCTGTCCGTCTCAGCTTCACAAAGAGGAACAGCGCATCTGCAGGGGAAAGGGAAGTACCCAGCACCCTGGGAGTTGCTCCAGTTTACCCAGATCTGAGATAAAGCTGGAATATATTTTTTGAAACTACTATCTATACTAATGGATTCCTGGATGGACTCCTGTCAATCTCCACATCATCTGTTTTGGCTAAAACTCAGAAACCCTCTTTCCCGGCCTAGATCAGATCTGTTTAGAATGCCTGCAGCCACAAGGGAGAGACTGACAAACAGTAGCCCAAAGCATTAGGTCATTGATTGTGTCTTTAACTTGAAATGCAAGTGTTGGTAGTGGCAGGGTTCATTGGGCAGCGCAAGCATGTCTTGGACTCAAGCTCTTTATGTGTGCACTCTACACCATTATAAGCACATTGGCTTTGTCACCTCTTAATTGCAGTGTAGCTGCCACAGCTCCAGACATCATATCCTCAAAGCAGAAAGGGAGGATAAGGGAGCACTGCTGACACTTTTTTGGAGAAAAATCGTTCCCAGGCTACCCCCCACCCAAGAGAATCTCCCTTATTGGCCAGAACATGGTCACATGCTCACCTCAGATCTGTCACTCAGTAAACAGGATTGGCACCATTCATTAAATTAATCATGAGTCACCCCCAAACAAATAGGGATTGTGTCTTAGAGGAAAAGGGGGGATAGTAGTTAGGTAGACGCTCCCAACAGTGTCTGCCACACACCTCAACAAAGATTAAGCAATATCGATTCTTGGACACAAAACCACAGTGATTAGGAGCTTGAACTTCAGTGTCAAACTGAAAAACCCAGCTGATCAGCTTAGTAGCTCTGTGATCTTGAGCAAAGCCATTTAACTTCACCTAACTTTGATTTCCTCATCTGTAAAACGGGTCTGATATCACCTAACTGGGGTGTAACACTGTGTACAGCTGTTTGAGTTAAGCACTAAGTAGGGTGTGGCAAATGGCAAACACTCAGTAAATTATTGTAGTTTGTGCTAAATTGTAATATTTATGACAAGGCTAAAGCCATTGCTAACCACCTTTACAATTCTGTAAGTTTTGAATTCACCATCTTAGGTTCAATTTTTAAAATAGTCTAAAAATAAGCTACCTATCCCATTGAATAAATTCTGGTAGAATACTATTCTGTACATTACTACATAGTTAAGGGGATCATCTTATAAGTTTCTATCTTTAAAATAGCACCTAATTATTAAGACTGTACCCATGTTTATCACTGCCTCCCAAACCTGATGGTGGGCTTAAGAGTTGTGATTCCTATGGGGGAATACTAGTAAACCAAAAAATAAATGGGGGGTCAGCACTGTGCCATAGTAGGTTCAACCCCTGCCTATGGCACCAGCATCCCAAAGGGACTACAGTTTGAGTCTTGGCTACACCACTTCCCATCCAGCTCCCTGCTAATGTACCTGGGAAAGCAGAGAAGGGTGGCCCAAGTGCTTGGACCTCTGCCACCCACGTGGGAGACCTGGATGAGGCTCCTGGCTTTGGCCTTGCCATTGTGGCCATCTGAGGAGTAAACCAGCTGATGGGAGACCTCTCTGTCTCTCCCCCTCTGTTTCTGTAACTCTGGCTCACAAATAAATAAATAAATATTTAAAAAAAAAAATGGGACCAGTTGAATTTAATGATCTCTAATATTTATTTGCACTATCTCTAACCTGTAGAGGTAAGATATTCAAATGTTTCAGTATGAAAACCTTTCAAGTCAAGTACCAAGAGGGATGCAACTGCTCCAAGTATCACATCCTCTTACAGTGATGTCCAAAGACTGAAAGAAGGGAAGAAATGTCTCCTTTCCTCATTTCTTCTGTAGGTCAAGGAGGACTTCTGCAGAAGGCCTCCAGCTCATTAGCCACAGTTGCCCAAATGTCCTTCAGTAACCAGTCTTTGCCAAGGGGAATGAATTGCCACACATGATTATGCAGCTTCATCTTTGCTGTGCAGAAGGGGCCTAGCCCCTTAGAAGCAACACAGCTGCACCATATCTGAACAAAACTGGGGAGTCTTCTAGTAACTATGGAAAGAGGAAAATGGCTTTTGGGTAAGCAATCCACAGTGTCTGCTACAAATACACTGCATGGATTTAGTTCTAATTTTTTTTTTTTTTTAGCTGAGTGGAAAGTTTATTTCACAATGTTGTGCCAAGTATTCCTAATGAGTTAAATAAACCTACCTTTTCAAGTAGGAAAGCTCCAGAATGGGTAGTAGGATCTTCCTGTTTTTCTGAAGTGGTTCGTGCTTAGTTATTCTTCTGTACAGTCAGGGATGCCTCATGGTGGTACAGTTCAGGGTCTGTGTAAGCAGTGCCCCTGGAGTTGTGCATAGCTATATGCAAAAGCAAGACAAGTGCAGGAAAAATGTTATATTTCATTTATAGTCACATTAGTGCCTTTCATGGTTCTCAAACCATCAGAATTTAGATGAAGTCATTCTCAAGTATTAAGTTGGCAGAAGGAAAGAGGTAGAGGTGAGAGAGAACAAATATTTGCCTCTATGCAGAATACACGTAAAATTATCCTGGTTTCTTCCAATAAAGTGTTAAAAAGAAATTATCTTGAATTTTTAAAATTCTGATCCATAGATAGGGCTTGTGGCACAGAAGTGAAGGTGCTGGGTGGGATACCCATGTCCCATATCAGAATGAGTTCCAGCTCCTCTAATTCTGATCTGGCTTCCTGCTCATGTGTGTTCTGGGAGGCAGAAGATGATGGCTCAAGTACTTGAGTTCCTGCCACTCACATGGAAGGGGGTTCTGTGTTCTTGGCTTCAGCATGGCCCAGCCCTGGCTGTTGTAGGCATTTGGGGGAGTGAACCAATAGATTGAAGAGCTTTCTCTGCCTCACTTTCTCTGTCTCTCTGCCTTTCCAATAAACTGAAAACAAAGTTTAAAAAAATTTAGATTTTTTGATTCACAACATCATTTACTAGGCTACAAAATGTTTATCTGTATCATAGAAATAATATATGTAATATAGCCCAATGTTAAGAGCCTAACCAGACTTGGTGTTAATGTTCCATTGTATTTTTACATTTTATTAGCATTTTTATTTGCTAGGCCTATGGGCTAATTTGTGTGCTAATGCTAAATATGCTCAATTACAAAAGCAATAACATGGAAATTTTTTATTTCATTTAAACAAACTAATTTATTGGCTAAAATCAGTATTACAATGTGTCATACATAAACATGCATGTATCCCCCATTGGTGCACTTACCTGAAAATGATCAAATGAACACAGCCTAAATTCACAGAACAGAATCATTAAAAGTCAACTGCAGAGCTAACATGCTTTGGAA